CCCATGATCTCAAGTATGGGACTTCAGCCTTTAAATTTCTTATTAATTGATTTGTTTTGAGAGCTCGCCGGTCTTTACAGTTCCAACTCATATTTATTTTAGGAATTTTTTTAACTCAAGGTTAATCTTTATTAATTATAATATATATTTTTTAATAAATTTGTAAGGAGTTGGATTTGAACCGTTACCTTTCAATACACTTATATGTGGCCCGACGTCACTGGATCCAAAAGTCAAAGTGCTTTATTAATTATAACATTGATAATTAATTTTATATACATTTTTATATAAGATTTAAATAAAATATAATAAATAAAATAAAAAATTTATATTTAAAATTTATAAAAAAAATTATAAATTTGATATGAAAATTTATTTAAAATTAATTAAAAATATCATAATTAATGAGTTTTAAATTGTGTCATAAGAGTATAAGTTAGATAAATCTTTTATATAGTCCAAATTAAAATAATATTAATTTTTTAGTTTCTGCTACATTAATATCACAAAATTTATACTATTATTACTCAAAAATCCTTACAAAAATATTTCAAAATTAGCTTTTTCTTTTTTTTTTTTTCACATCATATGGTGAGTTATATAATTAAGAAATAATCTTTTCTTTTTATTAATCCCTCTCCACCCATCTTAATATTTAAATTTAAAATTTTTAATTTAAAATCCTAAACTCTTACTTATATAAAACGCTCCAAAATTCAACTAGCTTCTAGTAAGAAAAGATGGCTTGGGTTGAAATAACATTAACAAAAAGGTTTATAGTGTATCTTTAAAATTGTTTAAGATAATATTTAAAAAATTAAAATTTTTAAATACATTAAATTGACTTAAGTGGTGACCTTTTTATATTATTCGAAAAAAAAAATCAATCTTAAAATACATTAAAATTGATTTAAAGATACCCTAACAATATACATGTATGGTGCAAACATGGCAGCATGGAAAAGATGAACCATTAGCACAAATTCAAATGAGATAAATCTATTGAAAAAAAAAAAAATCAAAGGAAATTACAGTCCACTCCAATCCTTATCCACCTCTTTTCTTGCTTTTCCTCAACCAATGCCGATACTGTATTTTCTTCACCTGCTAAAGGTGGACACCAAAAAATGGTTAACCATGGAACTTGTTGCTTCTGGCTTCCTGCTCACACCCAAGTTCTGTTTCTTGGAGCAACATCATGTTTTTTCTTCGGGAAGCAACAATCTAATAAGGTTTGTTGTAAAGTCAATTGAGGAAGCACCAGTATCGGTACCGGTCGCCACCACCCACCAATAGAAGGAGCAAACCATCCAACAAATAACCTACTTCAATTGAACCTAAGAGAGACACCAAGTTTGTTTACAGAAAATTGGGTATCCGAGTCGGATCTAAAGATCTGCGTGCTTTTGAAGAGGAAAACCTTCTTACATTTTCCGTTGAATAAAGTTATTTTTCTTTAACCAGTTTTCTAAATCACTTCCAAGTTCCAAACACCAGAAAACTCCAAAAATATTTTTTTGGAAATGATTTTCTGTGAATCAGACAGACCTTACATATTTTTCTTAATCTTTGTTAATGTTGATGTGTTAAAATGATTTTCTGTGAACCAAATGAATCCTACATAATTTTACTGATCTGTTTCTTCATAGTTCAAAGACGGTTTTCTAGCTTCATTATGAAATCATCACATATAAATGAGCTGAGATAAGTAGTACTAAAGAAATTAATGAACTAAATAGCTGATCTTACCATAATTAGGCGAATGAAAAAACAAATAATAATTTTTTTCTATAATAGTTTTTTAGTTTTTATTTTCTGTTTTTCTTTTTTCTATACAGGTTATTTTCTCTGTTTTACTATTTAAAAATTTTAAATTTCTGCTTCTTCTAGTGTTGTGAGTTGTGACATTAATGCTTCAAAGATTTCAATTAAAGTTTTAATTCTGTTTGAGTTTTTAATTTTATTTGCGTTTTGTTTGTGTTTCTTGCTCATAAAATCTTTAAATTTCGTTTTGTGTCAGCCTTTTATATGAAATATATATATATATATATATATATTATAGTATCCTTTTGGATGGCAAAAATCAATGTTTATTGTTTAGTTAACATTTTAATAGATTTGATGTATATATGTGCCTTTCAACTATCTAACAAAGGTTTGCTGGCCAAAAAAAAAAAAATATTATCTAACATAGGCAGTGAGACGGTAGGCGAACCTCAGCAGCAGGGGGGGAAAAGAAAAACTGCTAAAATCAGTGAAGCAGATCAGCCTGCCTACAAAAAAGGGAAGAGTATTAAAGACGCAGAATATAGGGAGAGAAAGAAGGTAAATGTTTCATTATTTCATTTGCACTTTTGGAGTGTCGTCTTGAATTTTTATTTCATTATTATTACAACATACATGGTACTTCCAGGAAAAATACCTGAAATTGGAGGAGGAGAATAATGCCTTGAAGTCTGAAAATCAAGAACTAAAACGTGAAATTGAGCAACTGAAGTCCGAGAACGTTACGCTTGGAAGTCAACTTAAAATAACAGACCTTGAACGTCAGAATGAGGTATTGAAACTCGAAAACCAGTTGTTGAATGTGAAGAATGAGAAGAAAGATATCGAAAGGGATCTTGAGATTGCCATACAAAATCAAATGGCTCAGCCTGAACAGCATCCCATTTACAATCAAATGGCTCAGTCTGGACAGCCTCACTTTTACCATCAGTTGGCTCAACCTGGACAGCTTCTGCCTCACAATCAGTTGGCTCTGCCTGCACAGCCTTTTAATGACGGTCTAGTGCCTCAACAAGAATCTGAATCTGTAAGTACGCAATTTTTGTTGAAATTATTGAAATTTGAAAATTTATGGTTTCTTTCCTTTTTGAATAGCATGAGTAACACATAGGAGATTATAATGTTACCTGACATTGAAACTTATATCATTTTTGTAAGTCAAATCCTTTATGTACAATTTATGTTTGTACTACTTTTCATAAATTGTCAGCTGACCCCTTTTTTTTTTTAATGCTAAGACAGAGAATTTCGGGATCTCCTCCCAAACTTGGACAGAGACTGTTCCCGAATATTGTCCAACCGGAGGAAGCATTCTCCAAGACTAATTCCTCTTCGACCATGCTGCCTCTAAGTTCTGAGCCGAGACTTGAGCAGAGCGCCTACTGTAAGGAACTTTTTCAATTTGAAGAAATCTCAGAAATTTCACCCAGTTTTTTTTGCCAGATGTATAACTTGAAGATCGTAAAGCTTAGCGGATGTCGCAAGTTGAAGGAACTTCCAGTTAGCATAGGTTTACTGAAGAAGCTGACTTATGTGGATATATGTGACTGCTCTTTGTTAGATCAAATGCCCAAACAACTGGCCTCTCTTTCAGAACTTAGAGTCTTGAAGGGCTTTGTGATTAGTGATCATGTAAAGTCCTGTTCTCTTGATGACTTGACAGCACTAAAGAAGCTGGAGAAACTAAGCATCAGCATAATACACAAATACGACTTCCGAGAACAACTGAGCACTGCCATCCCTAAATTTGAAAACCTTAAGAAACTACAAATAGCATGGGGAGGGGCTAAATTAACAGCTGGAGCAGAAGAAGAAGAATCTGAGGAATTGAGTAGCAGAAAGAAACCAACAGATGATGAGAAAAAGCAGAAAAAAATAGCCGAGAAGAGAAGAGAGAACAGAACGAAAGATAGTGACGCAGCTCAATCTACCGTCGCCAATCAGTATAAGCAAAAGGAGATTAAAGAGGACAGAAGGAATAAAAGTGATGCAGTTCAATCCACAATCAACATGGGTAAGGCAGAGAATGAAATAAAGCCGGTTAAGGAAAGAAGTACAAAAATAGCAGGGGCTGAAAAGGGGGACGGGAGCAAAGATAACACAAAGCCATGGGGTATTAAACATTTTAAAAAATCTATGAGCACACTACTACATTTTGCATCTACAGCTACAAATTCTTGGCTATAGTATGTATTATCATACCTAATATATACATATAGTCATGATGGTTATATTCCATAACTAATTGTATTTTCTTTAGCAACATGTCTGAAACTTTCAAAATCAGTAGTTAATTATTGCTATGATAAAATACTTTTACGGCAAAATATGTCTTTTAGCTTCAAATTAATAGTCATGGCTATTATATTATAACTAATTTAATTATTTAGCCATAAATATTAGAAGTCTGTAGCAATAGTAAATTGATTTTAGCAATAAAATTATTTAATTGTAGCTAATTTAGTTGTTTAGCCAAATGTACTAAAATTATGTCACAAAAATAAATTGGTCATAACCATAAAATTATTATATTGTAACTAATTCACTTATTTAGTCATATGTTTTTGAAGCCTATAAGTATAATAAATTTATCATGCCCGTATAATTATTATATTGTATTTAATTTAGTTGTTTAACCATAAATTTTAGGTTCTATAATTAACTTCACATAATAGGTGCAAATCAATATGGGATGGAATTAAAGCCGGGTGATCAATATTGAAGCGAAAAAATCAAGGATAGAAGCATGCTATTTTGTTACTCAGCAGGGAAAAGTGAAAGAGAAGAAATCAATTATTTGATCAAAAAGAAAAGTCTAGTTTCTATTTCTATCAACGGCGGAAGCATGTTGGTCTAGGGTTAGGCATAGGCCCTACCTTGGGCCAAAAAAATTTGAAGAGAGTTAAGGACCTAATTGTCTAGGCCCTATCGTTGGATGAATTTGAAGGAAAATAAAATATTTATGATTTTAAGAAACTAGAACGAGAAGAACACCAAAAGAAATATAAAATATTGAAGTGAAAAGAAAATTAGAAAAATAAATATGTAACTCATACCTTGAAGAATTAAAATATAAGAAAATAATAGATTTAATACCTTGAAAAATGTTATTGAAAAATTTATTTCTTCTTATAGCAAACCAATACAAATGTTTTGATTCATAATTTCTCATGGTTACAATTTCCTTCTTTTCCACTTTTTTTTTTTTTTCTCTTTGTTTCTAGCTACCTCCACTTCCATAGCTTTGTTTAAGTGACTTGAACCCTTAAAATCAATGAAACTCATTTTTAAAAAGTTAAAATTTTATTTTATATCCTCTCAATTAAATCCCTTAAAAACCAAGTATTAATCAATACAAATTTCTCAATATTATCCCATAATTTATCCAAATTAGCTTTTAATACACCATCCAACTAGGCCCTCACAAAGCTTCTAGAAGAGAATCTACATAAATCCTTCTTAATTCACTGCAATAGAGGAAGATTAAAAGAGGATTAAGGGTTTGATTAGGTTTGGATGTGATCGAAGAAGAAAGAGGAATTCATATATTTTAAAATAATACTATAGCTACAATGCTAATCATCACGTGGTATTAAATAAGTATATACATACAATATTATAAGTAGACTCTTAAATAAAAATAGTTAATTATATAATGATATATAATATTGTAAATTTATAATATCAGGTGGTATTGTAACTATATTATTTTCGATATTATAATCTACTAAAATGGAATAGTCCACATTAATTCTTCAATTGGATTTGTAATTGTTTTTTTTTTTGTCTAGTCCTTTCTCTTTCATTTGTGTTACAATTTGGTCTTTTGTATTTTAATTTTTTATCTACTTTATTCATTCTATATAACTATGATAGATTAAGTGGAAGTAAGATAGGAAGGCCCTACCCAAGGAGAAATCCTGGTTCCACCATTGATTTCCATAAATGAAAGTATGTACAATTTAATGAATAAAATACATACATTTTATGAAACTACACTTAAGAATGTCATTTAATATTCACTCTATCCCTTTTCTTCTTGTAAATTTAAACATACTTTTATTATTTTAAGACGTGGGTATTTTTCGTTAGAGATCTCCATTTAGTTGAACCGAGATAAAAAATAAAAAAGGCCACACCAAATAATAAAAGGGCTAGTAATTAAAATCTTTAAAAAAAAGAGAGTAAGGGTGTGGTTACTGGCATTGCAACAAGTGTCAAGTCCATCAATTTTTAAATTGTTTCTTAAGCAATGTGTGAAAAAAATATTACTTTACTAATTTATTTTAATTTGTTAACTAATAAATATCTATTAATTAATTAATTAATTATGTAGTTAATATTTATAGTGATCAATTATTTTTATTAATTAAATTAAATACTATTAGTATTTTCAAAGATAATTTTTAAGAAAACATGTGGCCCAATGGTAAAGATTCAATGGTGGATGATTGTATAGAGTACTTGTTGGATTGTTTTAGCGATTGGAATTGTAATCTATGCTTGAAGGAGAACCAAATTACTTAACTACTTGATTGATAAGTTGAATTTATATATATTAATGTGAAAATTTAAATTTCATATTATTGATATTTAGATGAATTTTATAAGATTTTACTTGATTTTATATAATTTTTATTATTTGTGTAATTAAAAAAGAACTTATTTGCGTATATTGGAAAGAAATCATAACTTTTGGCACCAAATTACAGAGATCAGAAAGTTGAGGATAAGTTGTACAGAAATCAGAAGTTAGAGACTAGGTTTGTCATTTTACCATTAATCAAAAGTACCTTCGGGGCCGAAAGCCCGACACGGTCTCTTCTTCGCCGGTGCAATGAAGGTATCAGCACCTTTTTTAGGCGTCGACCCCTCCGGGTTTTTTAGTAAGTCACGCCCAGATATTAAGATTTTGTGTGGATTATACGTCTATTTCAATTAGGTTTTTAAAATTTTATAAATATTTATCTAAAATCATGACAAAATTTAGATTCTATTCTACTTTTTCTTTTAGCCGCTCTGTGCACATCCCTTGTTCTTTAGAGGTATGCTAATAAATCAGATTGAGATCTCTAATGTTGATACCACATGAATAAATCAATTGAAATCAATTTTTTTCTCTTGTTCTTTTTTTTTTTTTCATACCTACACTACAATGAGCTTTGGTTTTGTTGAATTTTTAATGTTATATTAAATTATTTATTTCCTATTGAAAACAATTCAAGCAAGAAACAATCAATATTTTTTATCCTAACAATTGCAAATTAAAGATTTTTTTGCTTTTAAGGTAAGTTCGTAAACTCTATTCCCTATTGGAATCAATAATAAATATTTAATTTAAACAATATAAATATTAATTATTTATTAATAAAATATAATAATAATTTATGCTTTTTTAATTCATATATGAAAAATATTTTTGACTTTGCTGTAGACACATTTTGACATCAGATCATGCGTGGATTAAAGGGCAGAAGAAAGGGCAAGGGAAAGAGCAAGGAGGACAACGTTGAGGACTACGATCAACCATCCCCCACAAATTCTCCTACTCAACCCATATGTAATAGGAATGATACTGGTATATATAATTTTTATTCTTTATTAGTTAGATGTAAATATTGTAAGTGTCTTTAAGTTCTTCTAATTATCATTATGATAATTATATGATAGGGAGGGTGAACACAGGCTACACAAATCAATTTAGGTTCCATTTCGGTGGGCACTTCATATTTACCCCTTTTAGAAGATATGTTAATGGGAGAGAAGAAAAGAAAGCGTATGAAGATGATTTTGTTCCATTTTTTGAAATTCGAGATGACTTGGTTAAGTATTGTCAATTTAGCACTTTAAAAGGAGATAGGTTTTATTATTTAAAGCCTCTCAATATTCTTAGTGATCTTGATGCATTGGAGGAGGTTAAGGATAATGGAGATGTTAGGAGAATGGTTGACTCTTACAAGAAATGTAGAATTTCAATTATAGACATATATTGTCTTTCATCTGAGTATGAAATTGTGCCAAGCACACAAGTTGGAAATGATGGTAATGGTAACAATTCTTCACCTGAAATTCTTCAACCTTCACTCTCTACAAGAAATACTAGTGAAGAGCAACTGTTACCTCTTGGACATGAGAATGCATAAGGTTAGAAGTTCTCTTAAAACTTCATTTTTTTTTTATCTTCATTATACTTTTCATGTAACCAAGTTATGTGTATATCTTTCTATATTTATTCAATTTTGTTTTAGATGAGCTGTATTATTCATATTTATCATTAATATCTTTGTTTTTATATAGATTCATCTCAAACTCTTAAAAGGAAAACAAGAGGACCCACACGGTGCATTAAGCTTATTGGATTAGAGAGTGGACAGAAACTTGAAGTTGAGTTCGATGAGGATCACCAACCTATTGGAGATAATTCAACCACTTTTGTTTGGTTTTTGGGTCAAACTATTAGGAATCGGTCATGCTGTCCTTTACAAGTTCGAGAATGGAATGAGATCAAGGAGCAGTCTCTTGAGCATATGTGGACAATTATCTTGGTAAGTCAAATATATACTCTAAATTTAAATGATATGCATCCATTAGCATAGCTGCTGGGCGTATATCCAATATTATGGCATGAAAATTGTTCGATTGGTTGAAGTTTCTTAAGGTTTACTTGGGTAATTACACTAAATTCTTTTTTTTTATTTTTTTATGTTCATTTTCTTTGACTTGCACATCTATGGAATCAAGTCATGATTAGAGGATTTTATTTTACATGTTTTATTGAAATTTTCATTAGCATAGTTGTGGTATGATAATTGTTTATTTTGTGCCTTATGTGTTTTTAGGAAAAATTTAGTTTTGAAGTTCCAAAAGGGAGGAAGGAAGCTATTCTTGATCATATGAATGCTTTATATAGAGATTATAGGTATAAGTTGAAACACAACTACTTTGATAAAAAAAAAAAAAAAGAACACATCAAGAACGTTTATAAAATAAGCCTCCACGTATTAGTAATGCAAATTATTGGAAATATTTAGTTAATCTTTGGATCAGCAAAGATTATCAGGTAAATCAACTTATTTAATTTTCTTTCTATCTGTTTTCACTTATAATGGATAAACATATTGTATGTTGGGGTATGCTAACTTCTTTTTCTTTTGCTTATAGGACAAGAGTTTACAAAGCAAGGCGAATAGATCCAAACATAGCATGCCTCCATATACAAGCACAAAAAGTTTTGCTCGACTTAAGCAAGAAATGGTAAATATATTAGTCCATTTTTAGTTAAAAAAATAAATTTATTAATATAGTTTTTTTTTCCCCTATGTAAACTATATATTTCATGCTTATATCATTTTCCTTTGATATGGATACAAACTTTGTGACAGAAAAATAAAAATGGTGTGGCTCCTTCTTGTGTGGATGTTTGGCTTCAATCTCGCTAAAGAAAGAATGGAAAAGAGGTTGACCCAACCTCACAAGTCACTATTGTAAGTACAAGAATGAAACATATAGGTCTAGCTATTGTTATTTTTATCTCTTTTAATTTATTTATCCTTGCATTTTGCATGTAGATTGAATTCAAGTAGCTTAAAAAACAAAAAGGAGAAGGACAGCTATCGATAAATGATGATGAAATGTTTGAAAAGGTTCTTGGGCTAGAGAAACATGGTTATCTACGTGCTTATGGTCTTGGAAAAAATATCATTGAAAACTTTGGATCTAGACCAACAAAGGGAGAGCTCCTTAAACAAGTGGAAGCTACAAGAAAAGAGGCAACTGAGCAAATTGAAGAGGCTAGAAAGGAGGCAAATGAGTGAGTTGACACAATCAAACAACAACTTGAGAAGAAGATGGATGATGAAATAGAGAAGGTTAATAGGCAATGGGAAGAAAAGATCAAGAAGATGCTTGCTGGAAAAGGCTTAGATTCTTTATTAGATAATCAAGAGTAGGATATTGCAAATGTAAGCTATTCTTATATAATTTGAGCTTTCTATTATTGGTTTGAAAAACTTCATTTGTTGCTTTAGATTTTACTTTTTGCTTGACTACTTTAGGTTGGTTCTTAAGTTGATTGTTACATGAGAGAATAATTCTCTACTAATAAAATATTTTATTTTTGTATTTACATCAAGTTGATAATTGAGAGGATTTTAGAGACTCATCAAGAAGATCAAATGGTTGTTATATTTAGAATGATTGGGGGTGCACATATTTTAGCCATAGTTTAATTACTATAGTTATGGTTGACGTTTCTCTCTTTTTCTTAGAGACTATTGATAAATTTAGTGAAGTGTTGTTGGTTTTATGAAATTATTTAAATTAATTTTGCTTTGAATATTTTATTTATTGTATGGATTGTTGATAATGAATGCTAAATATTTTTATTGAATTATGAATTTAATAGAGTAATTATATTTGTATCAAAATCTTTTAATTGTTGTAGCAAAATCTTTCAATTGTTTGTTAAAAAAAATATTGTTTGCATAACTAAATTTTAAATTGATTATCTACATTAACCTTTATATTGATAATTAACTGTTGCTATGTGACTATAATGTTCATGGCAAAAAACTATATAGGTTTTAGCTATAGATTTATTATATCTCATAATTATAATTGAAATGTATTTGCTATGAATATATCTTGTTTGTAGCAAAATTTTGCTTCAAGAGTAGTAGTTTATGGCAAATAGTTATACATTTTAACTATAGATGTATTATACTTATAGCTAGAGTTATAAGAATATTTGCTACACTACATTTAATTTGTAGCAAAGCATTGCTACAATAGTAGTGTTCTCAAGGTAAATAATTAGTTCTTTTATTGCTACAGTATAATCCATCCATCACTTATCATTTTTTTCGTTAGCTATAGATATTAATATCTACAGCAAAAAGAAATCACCATTTGCTACACAAATACATTGTCATGGCTAAAAGTCAAGGCTACAAAATACAGAGATATTGCTACAGAAGTTGAAAAGTTTGTTGTCACGCCATTTCTAGTTACGACAAACTACATGAATCATTTATAACTAAATCTTTTAGTTACAAAATTTTTACTATTTAACTACTGAGTCTCCTACACTTGTAGATGTAAAATGTAGTAGTGACACTGTATGCGCAACTAGGCTGTCTATGCAGAAACCTTGTAGTGTAGTGAAACTGCAACTCCAGGGTGACCCAGAGACAACAGCACCCACTTGATTAGAGCCTGAATTTCTTCATTGTCTGGGGAAATTCTATATTAGGGGTGGAAAACTCCAAAAGCTTCCGAACACAGGGACTAAGTGGACGGTATAGATTTTACGTTGGAAGTATTTGAGTGATTTAAAAATTGACAATAAAGAACTGCGGGAAATGTTTCCAAATTTGAAGCATTTTGCGTAAGATGCCCTGAAGTAATGTTCTGAACTGGCGACGGGATGGATGGTGCCATGACATTTCAGTGGACTCCTGAAAAATGAAGTTTGAAAAGTCATCTCGTTGGTTGTTGTTATTGGAACTATATGCTTCTGTAGATTTCTGTGCTTTGCTCATGTTTGCATTGCAGTTAAATGTAGTTTTGAACCTCTAATGTGTGATTGATCGTTATTTTATTTCCTTTGTTTCTGTGGTACACTTGTTCAATATGTTTGGATATGCAGGTTTTTCTCGTAGTAATGTTGTTGGCTGTCACCCCTCTAATAATTCTAACTTTTGAGAGTGCTTACTCCTTGATAAAAAATACTCTCCTTGAAAAAGCCGGTCGCAGGTAACCGCCAAGACACAAATGAAGATAGGCGGATAATACTAAGTAAGTCATCTCTTTGTTTTGTTTTCATTAAGAATCGGAGATGTTCACACTTCATAGCTAGGTTGCCTAATTAGTTCTGCTCAGAATTGTTCTCATTAAATTTAGCCACGATAGGTAGATGCTGGGGACCTTGGGGTCCAAATCTATTACAGGCACCCACATGACAGCTTTTCTTTCCTGAAAAATGCCCAAGATATATGCTCAAGAAATCTAAAGCGGCACTTTCATTCGAATCTAAAAAATAAAAATAAAACCAAATGACACATATGCAAATCTCCTCTTCAGATTCAACTTATATTCTTTAAGTTATATTGATGATTTTCAACCAAAAAAAAAAATTGTGGGAAGAGAAAAAATCATGACAATAGGTAAAAAAGTGCGATGCTTATAATTCTCCTTCAATTGAATATTTTTCTAAGGTAATATGGGCCAATTTTGTATAATAGCTACTTCAAAAATTCTGATAAGTAACAACTGAGAGGATCTATAAGATGCCTACTTGAACTTGATGTATTGAATACTAATTTCCTCAGCCTTGTGGAATTCATTTGTAAAAAACAACTTTGGTGAAACATTAGTTCCATATCCTATGATGTATCTCCCCTACATTTATGCAATGTAAGCGGTATTCTCCTCATATGTTGAATTATGAAATACATAACTGAGGTTTGTAAGTTTCTGACTTAAGCTTGATAGATGGAAGACCGATTGCTTTCAAAATTTTTTATCAGCAAAGTGAATTTTTTATTAAATGGGTTACAAGAGATACCCAACACATACACAAGTAATACAAACTCATAACAGTTCACAATCCAAAAGAAAATCTCCAACAAACAAGATTATATATGACCCCTCAAACTGATCTAATCACTATGCCTATCAACATGTTCTCACAATTTCCTCCGTACATGAATTTGGGAACTACTGGCTCCAGAAAAAAATCAAATGCTGATCAGCTCGCATCTACCCAATCCAACTAAAGACCTTGCTTGAACCAATGCAAACAACCTAGAAACGTTCCATAGACCATCACAAAATATCACTTCTTTTCTACACAATCAAAGAGACCATAAACTTATTAGGAAACAAGAAGCATCATTTGGTAAACAAACTAAATAAACTTATTAGGAAAATATGTACAATACTCATGTAAATATTATTCTAAATGCTTATAAGTTTCATCTAATTAAATTAAGACATAAATACCTCCATTTTGCTATATTCAAACATATTCTTAGTATTCAACTCAATACTAAACCTAAGATAACACTTATCCTTGTGATATAAAAAAAAAATTAACTTAATACTCATTAGATATGCTATTTTAGTACAAATAATTGTACTTTATTCATTACAATCTATGGTCCATTTTACTTATTAAGACCTATATTTTTAAGAGGTATTTTTTTTTATAATATATGAATGATAATTTTAAATTTTTTTATAAAATTAAATTACTTAATAAAAATTACTCCAATATATTAGGAATTTTTTTCCAAATTAT